ACGAAAAATTTATAAAAAAAAAAAAATATATTTTTTAAATTTAATTCAATTTTTAAATTCAAACCCAACCCAATAAAAATTAAACTTAACCCAATTTTATTCCACCCAACCCAGCCCATAAAAATTAGCCCAACCCATCATTGACTTCTTAACCCTAGCCTTAACTCATCTCTCCTCACTCACTCTCACCTTCAACCTTCCTCTCCCCTCTGCCCCATTCTCCCGACCCCAAACCTATCCCTTCCGGCACTCATTACCACCTTTTCACCAACGGCTCAGCAATCGGCTTCAAGTGACTCAAGTCTCAAATTGGCATCCTATTCTCCCTACTTCCAGAAGGTGACGTTTCGTTGTCTCTTGATTACAATGTGAAAAATCCTACACCAGGTTCGATCCGTGGCAGGAAGGCACCGCAGAAGAAGGGAGGTAAAACGAGGAGGAAGGTTGGGATGGTGAACGGAAGCCTGAGTGTGGTGTGCCAGATTCGCCATCCGCGCTCTTGTGGCGCACAAGTGCGTGAAGATCCTTGCAGGTGTTCTTCGAGTTGAGAACGCTGGTAATGGGGAGACTTAGGCCGTTGTTCTTTGATTTGCCGTGTTCTTCGAGTTCTTCGAGTTGAGATCGCCAAATCACAGCCATTGTTCTTTGATATGCCGTGTCCTCTCCGGCTTGCATCGCCATGGTTCCTCCTCCGCGGCTTGCATCGGCCATGGTTCCTCCTCCGCCTCCTTCTTCTCTGTGGATCGCCACCTCAAAGATTCTTGCAAAGCTCGGTAGATTTCATTTCCCCGAAATTTGGTTTTCTTCCAATTCTTGGAGTTTAACATTTAATCTTAAAGGTTTTTGATTTTTTATTAATTTGTTTGTTTAATGCTCTGTTTGGTTGGTAGATGAGTCGGGTGGTGTTATTGATGAGATTAATTGGCGGGGAATGGGGATCCCCCATTCCTCGTGAGGAACGGGGATGGGGGGGGCAAAATCTGCCCCTCGCAAAAAATCCCCGCGAGGATTCCCATCCTCGTGATTCGCGGGGACGGGGACAGGGACGGGGATGGGGAGGGACTCCCCGGTCCCGCGGGGTCCCGTTAACATCCCTAGGCTCCACTAGTGATGTCAATTTCTAGATTGATCTTAATAAACCTAATCATAGTAATTTATTTTTAACAAAAAAATTAAAAATTTTTAAATTAATATATATTAGTAAATAAAATTTTTTAATCAAATACTTAGTTATAATTGTTAAACCAATTTAAATATAAATACATATGATTTACATAAATATAATATTTAATCCAACATTTATTTTTAAAAAAATATTAATTGTGAGTTTTTAGGTAAGTAATTCAAAAATAATTTAAAAAGACTATCTATACTACACTAACTTTTTTTTTTCTTTTTACTTAAAAAACAAATAATTTAGTATTTCTAATTTTTTATTCAATTGAAGTTCATGTCTCCTCCTGATATTCACAACTGGATTATCCACATCGAATATTCAGTTTGAGTTTCTTTTGCCATAAAAACGGAGAAGGGTTACTTCACTTAACTTGGTTGGACACGCTAGAAGAATTTCATAAATTTGTTTCTTCTTAAAATAGGAGTATTTGCTATTAATATTCATGTTCGTAAATTTTCAACTTCAAAGATTAAAAGGATTAAAAGTAAATATATCTCATATCCCCAAAAAAAATCATAGAATTTGAAAATTACAATTGAAAAAAATAAAAGTATTAGGTGTAAGTATATACTATTTTAATGTTTTGTTTCACAGTCCAATAGTAAA